TGTGTGTGTGTGTGTGTGTGTGTGTGTATCTCAGGGCTAAAGGCAGATAGCCCAGCTTGGTTTCTCCAGGCCAGAAGCCCCCAAAAGACTTCTGTGGGCACCTCTCACTTTTGCCGGTGGCTCCTGGATAAGCAGCAGCCCACCACTCCCTGTCCCACTCCCGGTGGTCACTTCTGAAGACATTCAGGGGTTCTCCTTGTGGCTGAGGAGGTGGAGACTGGGCCAGGCACGGCCGTACCCTGGGTCTTGGCTAAATGTGGAACTGCCTTGGCTGGGAAAGGAGCAGTGGCCAGAACAGGGGCTGGTGGAAACTAGGAGCCTCACCAGGGGAAAGTTTAAATTCTCACCCTGTGTAAGAAGACACCTTGGGGGCACGCTGATGGCATGGCTGCTTTATGTGCAGGGACAGCTGGGACCCCAACAGCACGTTGCCCCAGAGACCCAGCCCGGGTGTGCCTACCCCTCCGGTCACTACTGAGACCAGGTACACAAACAACAGGCTGCGGGAAGCAGACACCCCCTGGCGGGCAGGAGCCTGCCAGCTGTGGCAACCGCTCTGTTGACATAAACACGAGTGTCCAGGGCTTTGAGCGGCTTTGCTGGGGAGTGGGGAAGAAGCCAAGGGTCTCCCAAAGTCTGAGCTGGGATCGAGGAGGCAGGCCGAGGTTTCAGCCTTCTCCACAGGACACAATGCTTGGCCCACTTCGTAGGACACACTGCCCCGGTGACACTCAGGACTTTGCTCCTGGTCACTGCATTCTTCCCTGCCAGCAGCCACTCCTAGCACTGTCAAGTTCCCCTTTCGTCTTTGCCTGACTCAAGTCTTTGAAGAAAGTGATCTGATAAGTGCGGTGCCCATTAGGGTGACTAAGAGGGTTATTTGTCTTGGAAGCCATGTTTGCGAGGCCAGGCAACCCGCTGGGAGAGCGCTGTGCATTCAACATCAATTTTTGAGGAAGGATTTGAACCCTTAAGATGGGTAAGCATTGGGGTGGGTGAGGGTGGAAGGGACAGGGGCTTCTCTGGCGCCCCCTCTGTACAGATAATTTCTATGTGGGCCTGGAGACCTCAAGGATCCAGACAGTGGATACAGTCAGGCTTTGAATAGCTATGGTGGAGACCCCACTGTGATCAACATGGATTCTCCTGGCTTGCACGCTGGAAGAGGGGCCGCAGTCTGGATGCTGCCAGGGAACAGGGGCCGGGGAGGGAGCGAATTGTTTGGGTGAGCTCTATCAGATGACAAGAGGAACACTGAGATCTGAGGGAGTTCCCAGCGAAGTCAGGCCTTGGACCCAGGAACCTGTGGGGTGGGAATGAAGATCAGCGCTAAGAGCCCTAGAACAGAAGGGTCTTGTGCTTCCTTTCTGGAATTACAAGATAGGAGATCTCTGGGAAGGCTCTGAAATTGTGCTCAGAGTGCGGAGAGTCCTAAGAGCTAAAGGGGATGGTGGCCACCACGAAGGAAGACAAGAGATTTTGAAGCTCATGATATGGAGGTGTCCTTTTGGGGCATCTGTGGCATTGGCTCCATGGGCCTGGATGTGGGAGGAGGAGAAGGACACAGAAATAACACTTCCTGCACTTTCTGCACCCCAGCCCGGCTGACCAACCTCTGCCCATTGGACATACACCTTTCAGTTGGCTCCTTCACCACGCCCCCTGTGTCTCCAATCTGCAGAAATTGGCAAAAATTGGACCAGTACCCAAAGAGCTGGTGCAAGGAGGTTTTTTTGGACAATTTTGGGGCTGGAGGGTTAGAGTTTGGGGATCCTGCCCGGTCAGGCTGGGTTTCTACCCAAGGCCAAGAAGCTCTTTGGTTTGACTCACGCTGTGTTGGGCTGTCATTGCACCCAGGGCTGAGGATTTTGCCCAGATTGACTTCCTTCTCCAGCCACGTGTCCAAAGCTAGAGGACGCTAGACCTGGGGTTTGTGGGTTCCGCTTGCCCTGAGGTGGTCAGAGTCATGCTTTATGCGTGTTGTATCGTCTTAGAGAGTCAGCCTAACTTTCCAGAGTTGGCTGGCACCATGATTAAAATCGGTAGCCTCGATGTTATGAGGCGTACATGAGATGGCAGCGGGCTAAGGGCGAGCTTCTAGGGTGACCACCTGTGGGCGGGGACTTGAGATAAGGACCTGAGCAGTGTGCCCGAGCCCTTCTTCTGCCAATCTGTATTTGTTGGTGCTGAATACATATCCGTTAGAGATGTAACAGAAATGCCTGCCTCAGACCCAAGGGGCCCAACCATCCAAAGGGTAACGTAGAGAAGTCCAATTTGGTGAGCGAGTTTATGAGGGTTCAAGTAGAGAGCGCCGGATGGCATGGGGGCTGCAGTCACCAAGCCCCTGCACTGGACTTCAGGTTTTAGGGGACACTGATTAAAATAGCAAACGCCGATCAAAAGCAAGACGGGTCCTTGGGAAAAGCTGTGTGTACTTTGCTCCCATCAGCAAGCACCGTCCGGCTGCAGTGGGGCTGACTGTGTTGTACTGCGGTTGTAACTGGACAGCTAACCAGGGGCCGCTGTGAGGTGGAGTTAGTTTGACTTTGATACATTTAGAACAGTTGCATGTGTCGATGGAGCTGTAAGTAAAGCTAAAGATAAGGTGTGTGGTACGTGTGCGTGTGTGTGGTGCTTGGGCTTGAACCCAGGGCCTCACCTATGCTAGGCAAGTGCTTGGCCACTGAGCTACATCCCTGTCACTAAAAGCAGTTTTTACTGAGTTCAGACGGAGACAGGATCTACAGGAATGTGCAAGACGGGGCTGGTCCTTGTGTGTGTGCGGTGGCAGTCGGGCTGGCCCCATGGTCCTGGGTGGAAGTGGTCACTCTCCCAGCTGGCAGGAATTTAGAAAGTGCTGCTGGGCCTGGAGCGGGGTGGGTGCTTATTTAACAGGTGGCTTCTCTGGTTCCCATCCTAGAACATTTACTGATCACTTGTCTGTGGCAGTTACCTTTTTTCGCCCTGTTATCTCTTTCCCATAAATCTGTGAGGCCCTCATTTTGCAAATCTGGGTGGAAGTGGTCACTCTCCCAGCTGGCAGGAATTTAGAAAGTGCTGCTGGGCCTGGAGCGGGGTGGGTGCTTATTTAACAGGTGGCTTCTCTGGTTCCCATCCTAGAACATTTACTGATCACTTGTCTGTGGCAGTTACCTTTTTTCGCCCTGTTATCTCTTTCCCATAAATCTGTGAGGCCCTCATTTTGCAAATGAGAGAGAAAAAATAAAAAACCAAACCAAACCAAACCAAACCAAAAAAAAAAAAAAAAACGGAAGAACTAGGAAGGTTACCGGTTAATGAGGGAAAGAGTCAGTTTCTGATCCCAGGTTTTGGTCTGACTCCAGTCAGAACTAC